GAGTGAAAGTTACAGAAACACAAGTGTGAAGATGAAGAAGATGACGTGTTTATAAAAGACTTATAGTGGTTGAGAAGTTTACACTATAAAAAGTTAGTGTGACACGTGTGTTTTTGTTATAAGAAAAGGAAGAGGTTAAGTTATTTTCTCTTGGGAACCATTTTCATAAGTGGTAATGATGAATTGCTATGTGCACGTCTGAATAGACGTTTGGAGAAAGATGATTACTTTTATGATGTCACAACAGTAAAAGGTTATCATTAGTCTATGGTTTATCGAAATTCAAGATTATTATTCAAAAATGACTATTTCTCTACATAACGAAATACACATTTTTGAGGGACAATTTGTTAGCTTGGAATTTCGATTACAACGTTTGTTTGAACACATTAGTATTGTTTTTGGTGTTTGGGCTTCGTTTAGATTGAATTGAGTAAAAGCTCAAGCATTTGGGATGATTCGATGGACAGACAAAACGAATATAATAAATATTCGTTAAGTATATTTTGAAATCGAAAGTTTTTGGATATATACGTCGAAAACTTGGCGTCAACAGAAGAGAAGAATTCAAATTTGAAATCGAATGTTTGAGTCACAGAAGACACGTGGAAGTCTGGTTGGTTCAAAGGACATGCAATCTTCAAACGTGGCACTCTATCATAGAAAGACTGTTAGGGTCAAATTATTATAAATAGGGATCTTAATGTTAGGATTCGGGGGTGTCCATTTTGTACAAATTACTCAATATACTCGAAGTACCAAGTGTTAGAGAAAAGAGTTGTAGAAAATGTATGTATAGACACCATTATTGTTCTTTTTGAATCATTTTACTTTATCAATATCAAGTCTTTTAACATTTCCAGTATTTCCTTTACTTTTTATTCAAAACTTTTACTTTTTTCAAGTCATTTACATTTATTCTGCATTTCCTTTACGTTTCCAGTCAAAACCTTTGCATTGCTCATTCGAAGCCCTTTTATTTGAACTTATTTTAAATTGTAATTCTAATCTTTATATTGTTATCAACAAAATAATGTTAAACATGAATCTCATTACAAGTTTAATCTTAGAAACTTAGACACATGTCCTAGGATCAATCTATTTGATCCTGTAAGTTACCAAAATATTTAGTTTGGAGGACTAGTGGTTGTTTACCAAATTCATGCGTAAACACTATCAGAACGAATAATGAAAATGGTTTCGACGATGCAACATATAAGACATATATTTTCAATGGAATTTTTTTGAGAATTAGAAGACGATTCACATTGACAGTTCCATTATTTTACATTGGAATATGAAATAAATGAGAGGTTGAAGAAGACCATCATGGAATAACTTCTAGTGTGGTGGTTATAGTCTCCAGCGATCAGAGAGGAATAGTACATGCAAGATAAATACTCAAATGCTCAAGTTAGTAAATAAGAGATGTTGTACTATACAAGTATGAGTGATTGAATACTTGGGCGTGATTCAAAATCATGCTTATATAAAGGTGACTGTTAGAAATGTCCCTAATTGATCTAACTGAGATGCAAATGACCATTATATGTAGATTAACGATAGAGATGAATATGAGACACAAGCTCTTATGTGAGAGTACAAAGTGGAGATCCTTATGTTTGTTAGCTAGTAAAAACTTTCTTACTAAATTGACTAGTTGTATCGGAGTCGGTTTTGAAACATATTATTATTTATAAGAAAAACATTCAAAATACATTAGGATTTAACTACATAGACAAAAATAGTAAGCAAATTAAATTTAAAAGGTCCTATTTTGTAATGATAAAAAAAATATTTAACTTTTAAAATATTAAGTGAAGATGACAAACTACGTTGATAACAGTTTATTTTAGTAATTTATAAATTTTGGTGGCATTCTGAATTTTCAAATATTAGTCTAAATGGGCCCACTTAAAAAACAAGGTCAAGGGAATGGGATTTACCCTTCACTAGGGCCATGCTTTGCACACACAACATGTACATGTGCATTAGATTCTCAGCCCATACTCAGACCATAAGTCCCCACATAAAAGAGAGGTAGGTGTGCCTTGTGGATCTTTCATTACTGTGTACCAAAATCATGCCTGCATTTTCATAATTATTATTTGTATTTTAACAGCAACAACAAGAAGTGTGTTTCAAACATACAATCATGAAGTATATTTATTTTTAATATTAGTTATGAATTTGCTTAAACTTTTGGTTTTGAAAAGAGGCTCTTATTTGTTCTCTTTTTATAAGCTTTGAGTGTACAAAAAATATCTCGTTTGTTCCAATAGAATAAAACTTAAGTGATAATTTTCTGTTCACATTCCTAGGAGTGTGTCATGATGTACGACATTTGTACGAGGCTCGTATGACACTATTAAAAAAATCAGATGAATATAAAAAATATTGAATATAAAAAATATTGAATATATAATTTTAAAAAATTGTTTTTTTCTTTGATTTAACATTTTTTGAATTGGTATCCGATAACATTAACATTCATACAATATGTATTAGACAATTTAAACAAGTTTTTTATTTCAAAAATATTATTTTCTTCTTAACTTCAAAGCACCTTATAAAGGGAATTGTTACAAGTGAGCCTACAAAGGGAAAAATCACAAATCAAAGATAGAGTACAAAAAACAAGATTACAATAGGGAAAAGTCTAGGGGTTATGCGGGTTGGACACAAGGGTCCGCCTTCTTGAACTCGCCACTCCTTGTTGATAGGAGCATATTCCAGAGAAAGGAAATTCTGCTCCTCAGTAGGGGTTTGTTTCCTTATCGGGATCGTCTTTCTTATCCACATGCTTGACATATTTTATGACTCTAAATAAGTCAAGGTCACGCAAATATAAGTCAAGATAAAGGAAGGACACATGTGCCTTAGCCTCCTAAAGAACTTATTCGCACCATCAACCACATTGTCCTTGGAATCTGATATATCATTTTCCATTTTCTTCTTAATAAAGGTCTCCGTTAAAAGATAATTCTATGAGGCTTTAAGCTCATTTTTTCACTTGGGAGAACTCTTCCCCAAAATTCTTGGGGTCTTTTTCTTTTTATCTAAGATTCCTTCAATTCATTTAAAGAATATTGTGCTTCATTGCGCTCCTTAGTCATGGACTTCGTTGATTCTTGGGCCTAAGTAAGTGTTTTTCTTATTGTATTCAATTTAGTTTTCAGATCGACAATAGACTATTTGCTCGTGCATGGACGTCAAACATTAGGCGTTCTAGTATAACACCTCATATCAAATGGGTCTCCACCAACTTAGACATTTGCCTGACCCCAAACTGACCTGTCATCTTATGATCATTGAGGAAGTCTACATAATAGTTGAAGTGATCGCCCACATAACTCTTCGCTTTAAAGCTCATGTTCCAAAGGGAGGGCACTTTTGTGCTCTTTGAAGGAGTCGAGATGGTAGGTAACCTTATAGGCGATCCATCGGGGTCCACACCATCATCAACGTCCAAATAAATGGTGACTGAAGGTTGGACACCATTGTCTTTCTAACACAGGATCAGGGATGAAGCTCCTTTGACCTCCCGAGGCTTATAAATTTGATTGGTCATAAAAAAGGACAATCCATAATTCAATTGGCCCAATACAACCCATCTTATCCATGGGACCAATTTTCAACTCATTTTCATATCTATTAAGAAACAACCTAATTGTTACATGTTAGACCACATGTCCCTAAAAGAGCTATTTTTTGTCATTCTCCTAAGGAAGACACTGCTTCCTCCCACTAACGTAGGGAAATGGTCTTCCTATTCTTACTAGTGGAGAGAATCAGTCGTCTTATTTCTACGTTTTAGTCAAACAATTAAGAGAAAATCAATTCCTCATTCAACAATTTGATCCACGAGTTAAGCTTATAAATATTCCAACTCTTAAAATTAAGTAGATCATTCACTAAATTAAAAAATCCATCATATGTAAAATTAAGTAGATCATTCACTAAATTAAAAAATCCATCATATGTAACTTTATTGCATTCTGTCACGTAATAAAACTCACCATCTTCATTGTATTTTCACAAGTACAATATAATATAAGTCATAAAATGTGTGACATCAAATATGAATATCCAACTCTTATGTACAACCAAAATTTAGTTGAGGTAACAATTTTATTTTCATTTGCTAAAATGTAGATTCATTTTGTATTGTATGGCCATATTTTTATTAACTATAAATAATCATTATTAAACATTAAACCATGGTGTAGATTTTGATTATAAAAAGTACACGTAAGGAAATATATAATGGTGCGAACATGGGAGCCCCTCAATTTTAGTGGCCACTTTGCTTCAACGTTTTGTCCTCTTTGTTGTACATTTTGAATGTATCGCCCTTTCTTGTACTTCCAAAAACCATAAGTAAAAAAAATTAATGTCTTTTTGTTAAAAATTATGAGACATTTAGGTACCAACTAGTTATGGAATATTACCCTTTCTATGTGTTTTCCTGTCAGGATATCATTATTATTTTTTTGGTGCTAATAGGACAAACATGTAAAATAAAATACAATTAATTAAAGTGGGACGTAGGGTGGAAAATGATTCAAATAAATCTGAATTAAATATAATTTTTTACAATTTCGATTTGATTTGATTTTGTAATTTTTTATTGAACTGGTTTGATTTTGAACATCCCTATATATAAAGATGCTAAATTAAAATTTATAAAATTTTATTTTATAAATTTAAAAATACAAAAATTTAGATCAATATATGAACTCTAAACCAACAATGTACCCTTCTAACCCCACTAATAATTACAAGTTTGGCAAAAACAAACTTGAGTCACAAAAAGAACTAAAGTTAAATTAACTTTTGAAATTGAGTTACCTTTTTACAGCTTGGTAGTAATGTAGAAATGGTAAGAAGCACTTAGATCCTGAACCACCTCATTTCGAAACCAAATAATTGACAAGATAAACAAACACATATCCACCTCAAAAGAAAACAAACTAGTCTTCAACATCTGAATTATTCAAATGGAACAAGATGACACAATAAAAAATGTTGAAAACCCTTGTTACATCTCCAACTGCATAATGTCTCCACCTTGTTTCCAAGTCCCAAACGAGTTCCAATACTCTAAAATCCATTACACTCCCATTAAGAGAAAGTGGAGATGGAGGAACCTACTTACAAAGTTCTTGAGAGAGAGGTCTAAGATCTTGAGTAGACACAAACACATTTCTTTTCAATATGATCCTGTTAGCTACTCGCAGAATTTCGATGAAGGGATTCGGCTCGATGAAGAACCTAGACGACTTTCACATGTTTGTCAAGATGTTAGGTGTGATTTATACCGTTAATGTTAGTATGTTAGTTGTTATGTCCGTAGTTTTTTTTTTTGGCTGATTCTGTATGTGCTTGTTTAGGATTGAAATTTAATTTGGATATTAATTAGTAACTAATAATGTTTAATTATTTATAAATTTGCAATCAATATTTTGATGGTTGCTTCTCTGTTTTTGTTATGTGAATAGTAATACTTCGGTTTATCGGTTGGATTTTCAATGCAAAACATGAAGCAGTTAGTTAGTTAGTTACTAATTTGAATCCACTGCAATGAAGCAGTTTGTTAGTTATGAATTTGAATCCACTGTGGTTTTTTCCATGTCAAGGTCTCAGGAATCGATTATCCATGTATGTTGATTGATCAAATTATGACTTGTTAAAGTCACTGCACATTGGATTGAGTTGAAATTCTGAAGATAAGATAATGATATATTCATGGTGAAATTAGTTAAAGATTTAAAATGGGTATGATATGTTTGTTGTCTCCACTTTTTTGTTTTTTTTTTGTTTTAATTCTATTTACAGTTTAAACAAGTATAAGATGTCTCCTGATAAATACGAGCACCTCCAAAGGGAAACTTATTTTTAAGTTATTTTTTGGATCCCTCTGAATCAAAGTGAAACAAGTATAAGAGTAACTTATTTTTAAGTATAAATAATGTCTATTTAATGCTTTTGGCATCTGTTTGGGTCTAAGCTCGAAAAGTATAAAGGTCTTTTAGTTGTCCAAAAAATCATTTGGTGATGTTTTATAAGAAAATGGCACTATTACATAAAAACAATATCATAATGGTTGAAAAAGTGATTCTATAACGTTTGATCAATCATTGTAAGATAAAACGTGGTTGTATGTATGATGTTTTTCATCACGCTATCTACAACAACTATTGTATTAAACAATCATTGTTATATGTTTTTTAATAATATAAAAAAATGCAGCAATAGAACAACAGCAATAGCAAAAACAATAAGAACAAGAACAAAATAACAACAACAACAACAAGAATAAGAACAACAACAACAATATAACTTCTCAATTTGGTTAGAAAAATAATTATATGAGCAATTATGTTATATTTGAAGAACAACTTACACTAATAAATGATTTTTGAGCATTGTGTAACTCATCATTCATCCACGTTCTTTAACAGTTAGAATCTCTTCAATTATTTCAAATTCTTTATTCAACACTTCCTTTTATACTAATTCATTATTGAAAATGTAAAGTTTGATGCTTTGCAAAATGAACAAGCATGGAATAAAGTTGAACGGAAACTAGAAGTTGAAGGTACAAGAAACACAAGAAAGAGTAGTTTGAATTGAGTTTCTAGTTTTGAAACTTTTCTACCCAACACAATCAGAGATGAAACAAGAACAAAAATAAATGAAGACAATTATTTTTATCCTAGTTCACTGTTAACGAAGTTAATCCAATCCACACGCCAAGGTGATTTTGCCTTCTCCACAAGGACTTAATCCACTATAATCAAACTTGATTACAACTACAAAGACTACTCGTCAATGTCTTATGGAGAAATCCTGACTATACCCGAGTCTCTCAAGGAACAATCAACTCAACAATTAAGATACAAAAAGTGTGTTTACAAAGATGATTCTAAAAAAGCAGATTACACAAGTTGAAATACAGTGATAAACACAAAAGTGTTTCTAGCAAGTTAGTGAATAAAAGTTCCTTTTTTTACAGCTTTTTACACAAAGATGAAATATTTATGTTTGAGATTTCACGTGAAAAGTTCTTAGGGCAAACGTTCTTTGAGCAAAAGTTGTTTTCCATTCTTCCAAGGGCTTCTTATATAGGAATAGAAAGATTTGTTGTAGGATAGAATGAGAATTCCAAATTCTAACTTTATTCTTCATAACAATCAATGAGAGTGGTAGATAACATTGTACCATAATATAATCCTTACGCCACAAAATCAGAGTAGTGAAAGGAGTATTTGATCTTGTACCATGTACTATTCACTCAAGTAAAACTTTATTTCATCTTATCTTGTAATCTTTACAGACCCAGAATATGTGTTGATGAAGAATACTTAGAAGGACCAAAACTAGAATGAGAGTCTTCAGAACCTTGTCTTTAGAGTCTTCAAAACTTGTTCTCCAGAATCTTATCTTCAGAGTCTTCAGAACCTCAGAATTAGAAAGTGCATAATATTCATAACATGAGAAGTCTTTATAAGCTCTTTCATCAGAGTCACAGTTAGAAGTTTTAGACTAACGTTCTTCACAATCGTTGTTTAGATGCATTCCAGATCATAACAATTTCTTTGTAACGTGTACTTTGTATCTCTCCAGAGTCACAATATGTTGATTCTAGAAACTAATGACGTCACTTGCCATTTTATCAGAGTCAAAACCTGTTATCAAAAGCTACACACTAGACAAAACCATTAGGGCACAAGATTGTTCTCTAACAAACAATATATTATTCTCATCAAAACTAAAGGCTAGATGCAGAACCAAATCTTATTCTTACAGAAGTGTTGGACAGATTTTAACAATTAAAGAATACGAAATGAATGATGAGTTTCAAAATATTAGAAAAACATTAATTAATGTAATATATGTTTCAAATACAACATAATTTTTCATATTTATTATTTCCAAAATCAATTTAATATGTTATATGTTCAAAGAGGGGTTAGTAAAACAAGCAATCAACATTATATTTAATAAACCCAATTGTATTTTTTGTCACTACAATATCCTCTTAAAATATTCGATAGAACAAGATGAGATTTGCAGAAAGAATCACAAAAACATAATCTCAATATTAATCTCAAACTCAATAAAAATAACTAAACTATAACATATGGCTTCGTGCATCTTTTGGACGAGGATTACTCCTTCCAATGAAGCTGGATTGAAAGTCTCAGACCAAACTAATTGGCTGAGTTTGATGAAGTGTAGCTAGACGGCCATATTTGGTTGTGATGACCATATTTTTGTTCTTTTAGGATTTGTGTGCGAGTTTGGAGGAGAGAGAGTAAGAGAAGGCTTTCGAAAACGAATTTTAAAAAATATATAAGAAAATATTTGACATTTTTTGAAAAAAAGATTTTGTATAGAATGATAAACGAGTGGTTATCATTACTATGTTTTTAATATTTATAATACTATAACAACATATAACATATTTGGAAAATTTATGTAAGCCTTCCAAAACCCTCTAATACCTTCCTTAAATACAAATTTTGAGTTCTTCAAATTAGAGGATTTTTTGTGTTATGAATATAAGCAAACTCTCCCAAATCCTCCCAACCAAAATTCTTCAATTATTTCCACTCAGTCTTTCTCTTATTTCAAACCCCTCTTTGCCTTCCCTTTTATCGACATTTTCCCTTTAAAAGTAAACTTTTGTGGCGACTTCATTGAATTTTGAGCGTTCATTCCCTAGGATATTTTTCATACTGTGACAATAATATACCATCAACCACCCTTAGACCCCCAACACACCAACACACTCCAAAGAAAATATTTAACTACATCTCATAACACTCTAACACAAGAGTATAAAAAGAACAAAGAAAGTCAAAGACAAGCTTAAAGTTCTTTTAACTTGTGCATTTATAACGAAGAACTTGAACCTTTTATATAGCCTTTGACTTCCCCTTCCTTTATAAAACTAAGCAGCATGGGACTTCTTTAACATGTATATTTTCAACCAACCCCAAAAAATATGGATCTACGTGCTTGCAAGTATGAAGACGATGGTGCCGATGTTGATAACCTTCTTGGTGTTTTTATGACTAAGACAACTCACACACACACACACCTAAAATAATTTTAAGGCCTATTTTTATTGAAGAAAATCACCGAAATGTGTTTTCATGGCCTAACCAATTGATTACGGAAATGTCTGCTTGATTAGGAAAAAAATTTCAACTATCTAATCGATTAGATCCTTAACCTAATTGATTGAAATGATGCCTAATCGAGTCTAGAATCAACTATAATTGTCCCTTAACGATTGGTAACAACTCTGTAGCAAAACCTTCCATTTTGGGCACAAATAATAAATTATTTTTGGTACCCAATTGATTAGATTCAGGACCTAATTAATTAGATGAGTTAGTTGGCCCATGTATCATTTCCTTTTTGAGCCAATTCTTATTCTATATAAAGGAGACACATCCTCACTTCATATCACACTTGAATTCAGAATTTCTCTAGTTATTTAGAATTTATCTCTCTTCCATATCTCTCTATCTCTCTTTAAATATTTTCATTACACCAAAGTTGCCTCAGAGTCTTGTGAGTGAAAACTGCTTGTGAGTAAGAAGTTGTACTGGTGTCATGTCATTATTGTTACTCTCAAGAGTGTGATATTATTGGGAATCGTGTTTGGTTCTTGATATTAACCAATCTTAAAATCTCTGCTTGATTCTAGAAATTAGCTTGGAAAATTTGTGTTTAGTTATTAAGATCATCCTGGAAAATCTCTAATTGGTTTGTTAGCTTAACCTCTATAAAATCTTTCTTTTGGTTAGGGATAAGCCATTGTGATATCTCTAGATCTGCTTGCGTCAAATATTCATGGGCATAACCTGTAAAAGCTCAAGTTTATAGTCAAATCTCAAAAGGATCTCATGGGGATGGAGTAGGCCAACATTTTGTCGAACCTAGATAAATTAATAGTGAAATCTATCTAACCCTTATCTTTTATTTTCTGTCATTTATTTTAATGCCTTTACTTTCTGCTATGTTTCACTTTGATCTTAATATTAACCCATTTTACTTTTAAGTAACGAAAGCTTAAACTTAATCGCAAACTTTGAATACCATAATTCACCCCTCTTTTGTACATGAAGTCACTTGTCCAACAAGATACACTTAAGTGATATACAACACATTATAAGGTGCAATGTGCTTAAGTGTGCTCTTAAAGCTTGTGGCCCATATAAACGGTTTTTATAAATAGATCACGTGTGCAGAAGTATTTTCCCCTGACCAAATTCAATTTTTGAAACCCTAACCTCACTTTCTCCCGCTCTCAAGTTCTCCATCCAAATCATCTAAGATTGGGATTTAAGACATTGTGTTCATGTGGATTGAGTATAGGTGTTGTTGTTCATGTAATGCTCATGATCACTCTCTACATTATGTATCAATGATCAATCGCCATAAGAGGTAACCATTCTATAAATGATCATTTCCATTTGTAATGATCAATTTAAGGAGAATTGTGTTTTTCTCTACGTATTTTTATCGCAATTTACCTTCAGTGTATCATAGCCACTTATGAAACCATGGGTCAGATATTTGTTTGTTTCGTGTACCTTCTATTTTAATTCGATTAAACATACATAATAAATTTAATAATAACAGAGAAACTA